TCTCATGGAAAGAAAGACGATACCTAGATGGCTCTACACGCGAGAGGGGGCAACACCCATTTTGCTTCGACACAATAGCTAAAAGCACTTGAGCCGCACTACTATTGGGGTGCAAGAAACATAAAGGTGCTCGAGAACTTTTTGTGATAAAAAGCAATACTTCAGAGCAACAAGGCTCGATTCTGAGGAGACCAGAGTGACAATTACGACGATGTACCTGAATGGTGATGTGAAACTTTGATTGTGCACCCGAAAGGAAGAAATCCAACAAGGATGGTGTTGGGTGGCAACATGGGAAGATTTGAAGCACGAGTTGCAAACTTAGTTCCTGCCTAAGAATACCGAATTTGTGGCACATCGAAAGTTGAGACAACTCTATCAAACCACCTCCATCAGAGACTATGTAAAGAAGTTTTCAACACTTATACTGGACATATGGGATATGTACCTTCATCAGAGACTATGTAAAGAAATTTTCAACACTAATACTGGACATATATGATATGTAGAAATACAAATTGTTAAGCTTGCAATTCAAGAATTTGTCACAAGGGTCTCATATTTATAGTCATAAATATGAAATGAAAAATGTACTACCTTATATTAAGCAAACATAAGCTTACAAAAGTCTATTGCTATTGTAAAATGTGAACTTCATTATATAAGGATATTGTTTCTCTTGATTAATTAAAAAGTTCTGACATAACTTTGGTTAATGGATTTAATTATTTTGCTTCTAGGCAATCATATTCTATAAATTACAGTATTAAAGTGAAAAAATGAGATTGGATGCATATATTTGTTATGCGTGGACCTAGTCAGGTCAAGTCAAATATACAAAATATAAGGAATAGATGTGTGGCACATTAGGAGGACATGCCAAAATGTGTAATGATCATGCCACTATACCTAAACTATTAAAACAAGCACCCTTATGTTTAGGAAAATGAAACACTTTTGTCTCTAAAGAAGAATGAAAATATAAATAGAATATAGTAAACCGTGACTAAGTGGAAGTTAATCAAACAATGAAGAGACAAATGAAATGTTTCACCTATAACGTAAACCAAAGACAAAAAGGTTGATTGCACCATAATGTGACAATCAGATAACTCCAAATACAAGATATAATATCAACTAACTAATAATTTCAGACAAAGAATAAAAAACAGAGAATAAATAGCAAAATTGCACACCTGAAAATTTGAAGCTCTAAAACGGCGGCGAACATTCTTATCATCCAAAATCTGAATCTCAAAGGTAAAATACTTCTTCAGATTTTTTACAATCATAACCAAAAACGGAAGCTTGATACCAAGTGTTGCAGATGGATCAGCAGGACAAGTAATGTAAGTTGACTGCACATTTGAGCCAACTATTTCAAGCACATTTGACTGGATATCGTCATCTTGTAGCCGTCTAACCTGTCCATTGACAACTGCAATGCAAGAGAATCTTATATTTAAAAATTGTTACAGGTGTGTGTTCATGTTAGAGGGCAAAACCACCAGACACCATACTCTTTTAAGAGATTTATACATAGGTTATATTTTTTTACTTTAAAAGTCAAATACAGTTTAAAGAGATGTAAAGAGTAGCATGTGTACTTGAGAAGACATAAATAGGGAATGTGCAAATTTTAAATCACCCAAAAACGTTAAGAGAAAATATGGATGGTCATTTGGCTCTCCAATGGCAATAGTACATACTGTTACATGGATTTAAGTTTTGGACATGTGAAACTCAAATATGAGTTACATAGAAAACAAGGATATATATAATCATGAGCAGACTGAACTTCTCTATGGAGAATAAATTGAACTGCATAATATGGTAAAACTATAAGAAGTATTTCCTTCTGACCCATCAAGTCATAGGATTCAAGGGAAATATTTCCCTTAGTGCAACAAAAACCATTTATGACAGTGGGCAGACCTACTGGCAGCTGCATCACCCGCATCAAAGACATGATTAGGAGACAGCGTTGGTAGAAGACAGGAGCTAGAAGCCAACAACCTTGACAAGGTATTTACAAGCCATTTTGAACTGGATTTTCAATATCTCACTTTTTTTTTCCTACTTTTGATTCTTAGTGCGAAACGTCAGCATGGCTCACCAGTATCAAATGCACCCTAACATTCACATATTCGTGGCTTTTTAAAGGCATCCATTCGTTCCCAAATGGAACACTGGTAAACTGCTTTCATTGTACCAATATTGAATAATACCCAATATAAGTAATCCTTTACATAATTCCAAGACTACCTAAGAAAGTTTTCAATTTTCCACATTCTCACAACATTAGAAAAAGTTCTTATTATTTTTAAAGACCACTAACATATTAAAACATTTCATCTGCAAAAGTGAAGAACCTGATTATCAATTTGTATCAATTGTATCAATGTCAACAGCATTATGGCTCAGAGTGTCAGCATGTAGAGTTCCAGAAATGACCAGCATGGTCCATATGTCACTGGAAGTTCCAGAACATAAATCCAGAGTTAAAAAATGATACAAACTTCCATCCAAGGGTGAAACTGTGTCAAACAATATCTGTATGAGTTCACTCTCAATCTGAAAGAGATCAGGTATGCTTATATCAAGCTGCATCAAAAAATATGCACGAGAACTCATATCCATGTGTATCTATCATATATTAGCATTTGTTGGCCTGCTGGTCAGTCCAATCCCTTTTCACGACCATTTCCAACCATCAGAAGTGAATTTTGATTATTCTAGCTCTAAGAAAAGTGGAACTGCAGTTTTACCAGTGATGCTAATATTTCTATATGCATTACCTACCCCTTCATTACAATTGAGAAATGAGTATTACCTTCTTTGTCCCATATTTGCAAAGGTTTGCTCCTGTAAAAGAAAAAAAAAGTTAAAATGTTTACGCAAGAAAATTTGCATATTTAAGTATTTAACCAATATTAAGGATAAAATAATCAAGCATGGACTTACCCAAGACTGTAGAGAATAGATAAGAACCCAGATTGGAATGTGTTCTTGAACATATTGTAAAACCAGTTGAGAACAACTACAACTACAAAATGATTATTGATTAAAACCACAGAGAATAACATCATTGAAATTTATGTACGAACTTTAATAGTCATCCATAAAAAGAATTATTGACAAAAAAGTAGATAGATCATCTGTCTTCCATATGTTAAAAGTTCTCATAATTTTCACAGAATAATCTTCAGTTTCACAGTACAAAGACAAATTCATCAGTCTCATGATTGGTAATGTTTCCTTCACATATATAAGTTACATCAGTTGACCATTACCCCAAAAATCTAACCAGACTGAAAATGAACTGAACTAAATCATAGATAATCAAATTAACAACATTCATAAAACTGAAATGAAGAAAGATGTGATTAACTTTTCATCAGACTCTACTAGTTTACTATTGTGCCAGAATAAAGGTTTCTGAAAATCCAAATATGATGTTATGTATTTTCTCATTCTTTTTATTGAGCATTTGATACCTACATGTTCAAAAGAAGAATCCTACTATCTAACTAATATACGTCACTAGATTGGTCTTCGAGGTGTAATTAGGCCAGCAAATAGATAGGACCTGGAGTGAATCAGGGTCAATCTGGATCCCATAAGAAATCTAAAAATGCACTAGACTAGCTGATATCTGATCCACATCCAATCCAATTCCTATCGGCAGTTGTGATAGGGGAGTCGAATCCTGGCAATTAATTAAGTAGTTCGTTTACCATGGATCATAATGAACACCAAGGTCAAACTAGTTGGAGAATTATGTCAAAGAACAAACTCAAACATTAGATTTGGCATCGAAACGAGAGCAGTTCTTTTTTTACTCAAATTCAAAAAGGAAAGAAGCCATGCCTTAAGAAAGCAATAGACTTAAACATGAGAAGTTGTCTTAATACCAACGAAGCTGAAAAAAAATCAGATACTGAGGTTCCTACTGAAATAGTTACTAAATACTCGTACATGATTGACAAACTGGCTTCCCCTTCCTTTATCTCACCATTCACGTTTTTAATTACGAACAGGACAATGATATTGAAATTATATATAAAAAACTTGGTTTTATACCCAAAAATTATACACTGCATAAAACAAACCCAAAAGTAAAAACACGGAAATGATACACAAGGAAGAACCTCGATGATTGAAAGCAACGATCCAAAATCCGATGAAATGGTGATGGCAAACCGCCAACAGCCGGCGATGGTGGGAGGTACGGAACGTCCAGAACAACCGGCGATACTGGTCCTTCGTCGCGTGCCTTTTGATGGTGTTGGCGGCGCGCCGGACCGAGGTGACGTCTGGATGGAGAGACAGCAAGTTTCGCCGACCCAAGACAGCGAGACAGGGCGGGCGGGCTGGCAGCTAACGAACAGTAGGTTTCCACCTCGACGAGAGGGGTGGTACAGGTGGTCACACAAGGCGAGGATGATTGGGGAAATTTTTTGACCTAGGTTTAGGATCTCCGTTTTGCACCGTTGGAGAATTAAGAAGATCGAGAGGTACGCGTCGACAGTGTGGCGACTCGATTCGGATTCAAACCCAACCGATGAAATAAAACCGATTCGTTTTACTTTTTGAGACGGGTTAGGATTGGGAAACTTAAAGCCGAGCTCCACCTGGATTGGGTTATGGTTGACCCAATTTAACTTGAACCCGAATCTAGCAGACTGGATATCAATTAAATTGTGCTTATGGACAGTGTCAACCGACAATTTATAGAAGTACAATTTGCCAGAGTCGTGACATATTTTGAGTGATTCTTTTCTTTTTTTTTTTTCGAACACCTGATCTCAGGATAAAACACATTGACCCTTTAAGCACCGAGCTAGTGCATTTGTTGAATCCAAGAAGAAGACGAAATTTAGTACCTAATTATGGTATTAGTGTCACATTCCACAATTTCAATTTTCCTGTAAAGTGACCCATTCTCTTAAATGTGTATCATATGGTCAATATATTAAAGTTAGCCACCTTTCATGTAATAACCAAAGAGACCATACACAAACTTTTATATTCATTGCACAAGTTGCAGTTTTCGCCTTTAACATATCAAATTCTAGATATTATTTCTGTTAAAGCTGTAATTAACAAACAAGAGGGCCATAATACAATAGGAAGCAAGCAACACTGTAAACCAAGGGATAGGTCTTCGGAGCGGTATTAAGCTTTAGAGTTTTCGATCACTAGTATTCACCAAGAGCAATGACGGCAAAGTTGAGATAATGGAGCTGACTGTCGATTGATAATAGTCTTTTCAGAAGCAGCACTCTTCCAGTACACAGCAGCAGCAAAGGGCAGCCAGGCTACATCAGGAAGAAAGAACACTATTAGAAATCCAAGCCCGAAAAGTAATAACATTCCAAGGACAAGTAGTTCTGTCCATATTAATGAACAAAAAAGCATCATCTTCACTGTTAAATAAAACCTCATAGATGTAACTAACTGTTCATTGATCACGTTGCTTAAAGATCTAACTAATGAACCTTACCGTCAATGGGTTGATTCATAAAATCTCATTCTACATCACTGCAACTTCAAGTACACGAGTCAATTCATAAAACTTCATTCTACATCAGTCTCACAGTTGAGCACATGAGGAGTATTGATGTCACAACTTCTAACCCTATATAATACTTTTTATCAAATAATTGTTCAGGTTTTGTCGTAACTATATTAGCTGTCGAAAGACGAGAATTGTTTATATAGTCTTGTTCACGGTCTTGTCTTTTAAGTTATAACCAATAGTCCAACTCCTTGTGATTTTTGAGATGAGATTCCACTAACAATTACACACAAAACTAAGCATTATGAAATGTAAGTACTGAAAGAAAATGTCAATTCATCATCATATCTTTATAGTCAACAACAAAAATAAGAAGCCATGTGTCAATGATTTTGGGTCAACTGAAAAGTCGATAATTATGCCATACGATTTAGATCAAGGAGAAAACCCATGGTTTTGTGGTACCAATGTGTTCAGAAAACTTAAGTGCAATTAGATGAGTGATAACCTGGCATATGCTTTTAGAAGACTCATTAATTGGTGGTATAGGTAAGCAGATCACAAGAATACCTTGGTTCAGAAATTAGCCATCCACTTGAATGATGTTAGAAATACTGTGACGAAATGGGGATTGAAAAACATGTCTAGTACGATACATTCTTTATTATGGTTGATCACTCAATATCTTAAGGCTTCACTGGTAATAGTAGAGGTGCAGGAAAATGTTAGATGTCATTATCGAGGCATGTATAGGTGTTACAAATAATTGGGTCCAAGAATCTGAGCAATCAAATTATGAGGAAGACATCTTCTTGAAAATTTTGAATATTGTTATTGAGGAAGACATTTTAAAATATCCTTCATAGCAGGTATACTTGATTGCAGTGACACCATTGTAGAAATATTTCAAGGTGGTGAATTACAATGATGACAGAGAGGAGCATCAAAATACTTGTACCAGAATTCCAAAATGCAGTTTATGTAGCACTGTATAGCTTAAAAGTCCTCAATAAGGTTCTATTGCATCAACTTGTGAATTACAATATGCACCAACTCATACTCGAATCATGAAAATAGAGTGGCATATGTGTTTTGTTTATCTTTTTTTATTATTATTTTATAAATATAACACATGGTGGAAGTTAATACAAAATTAATCACTTCTAATTTTACTCAAATATTATTAGATAAACAGATTCATGATTGACCATAAATTCTGCCCCATTACTTAACCTGGCTGTCACAGATATTTCCCCATTCATAATTTAAACTAGACTATATGTTTCTTTCATTGCATTCAAATAATCTATTTGCCCATTTATAATCTAAATTAGATTATGAACTTCTTTATTTTTTATTAATAATCTATTATTTGTATACTTTGATATAACTGCATGTGCAACCATATAATGCAAAGGTGCTATTTACCACCCCTGCATATTGTTGGTTGCAGCAAATAGGTGCCTTCATGTTGGTGTACATGATGATGCTGATTTTCAGGAAGATTTCATTTCCCACTCGTTTTAATATTAGGTTGGGTATAGATGTGCACAATGATAAAGATGACTAATAACAATGTGTCCATTGTTGACAAAAAATCATTACTGAAGACTTCTGCAGTACATCATGAGAGATTGTAATTAACGATAGAAAATCTATAGTTGAGGATTATCTAGTCATTTGCATTAAAGTTTGGACCTAAAAGATTGTTTTTGAGAAACTATTTGAACACTTTCAGACAACTGATGCATTCAAAGCTGTTTACCAACAATATTTTACCAAAAGCATAACCAAGTGTTGGAAGCAACATTAGGAAATGATGTTGATAGGATACATTACAGCATCTGGAATGTGAATATCAAATCTCAATATGATATTTTAATCTATTTGGAGCTAAAACAATGGAACTTCTCAAGAACAAAGTCTAAGGATATATGGATGGAGGATGAGATAAAAGATCTAATTCAAATATAGGCAACAAAATCAGAACAAATTACCCCAAAAGGACAAAAACGATAGAATTAAGAATTAAGTGGCCATAACAAAATAATTGGTTGTGACTCGAGTCCAGGATCTACAAATCAGATAATTCAAGATTGAGACCAACTTTGACAGCATGTTAAGAAGGAAACAAGAGTTTAGCATTATTATACAAAGGACTTGACATGGAATCTAAGGATTTTTAACTTCTGATGAAGATTAACAAAAAAGAAAAAATAAAAAGAAGGATAAAGATTAATCTCACACTCAGATTGTCCCAGATGACACCAACACCTCACACAAAAGAAGAGTTTTCATATTTAATGTTAATCTAAAATGTCTTATACAATTATTCACTTCATTAACTTTAAGGCATTATTTCTGAGAAAATTTGTAGAGATCAACCAGAATAGATGCTAAAAAATAGGAGCCATCATAACTAATTCAAAAATAATAGGAAGGACATAAACTTAATAGTCTCCGTGGGCAGATAAAAGATGAAGGGCTGAGGTCTACTCAATAGCATGCAGTGCTATTTTGATTTAAGTCATAAGAAGCAGATGATCCAATGTTTTTTGAATTTCCCTGCATAGTTTCTCAACAATTTTCATAAGAAGCAGATGATCCAATGTTTTCTGTATTCCCCTGCATAGTTTCTTAACAATTTTTATTTTCATGAAGGCATACACAGTAACCAGTACAGAGTGGACAGTGTCCTTTAACAAGATCTTTCCCTGATTTAAACAAAACAACCACTTTTTTTTTTCCAGAAGCATTGATACTACACTCTTATTGCATAAACATTTCAGTGTTAAACTTGTGATACCAATTCCGTTTCATAATTCATGAGATCTGCATAATTATAGGAACCAAATATCCATCTTTTCCTCCTAAATATGCCAGGATCAAAGAAAGTATCACTCACTCTCAATCGGTTGTCTGATCTATCTACCTCCAAGATATTTTCTCGCTATCTAATCAAAACAAAGTCCTTCAAATTAGTACTCATCAATTCTAAATCTTTAATTATCCAAAACTTAGAACAAATTGGTTTTTCTCCATTTTGAAAATTATCACAACTCCAGCAATTATCGAAGTCAATCCGGAGCCACAAACATTTGATATGTTAAAGAAGAAGCCCAATCAATCTAAGACCTTAGGTACGGGAAATTGGACATCAAAGAAAGGGAAAAAGGGCACGAGATGCACAAGAGCGACGCATACCATCCTTTTAAGAAAGAGAGGCCGGCATCATCATGGCTGTGGTAGTAGGGATGGGATGGTGGAGGCGGAGGAGGCGGAGGGGGAGCGTAGTCCTCATAGAAGTACCCCTGGTACCCAGGAGGGCGCGGTGGAGGATAGCCGCCGGGTGGAGGGTAACCGCCGGGTGGAGAGGAAGGCGGAGGGTACGGTGGAGGAGCTCCGTACGGTGGAGGGTAAGGCGGCGAGTACCCTGAAACCAAATCAAGCGAAATTAACCACCGTCATCGTGTCATCTCTTGCACACAAGAATCGAGAGATGAAGGCGAGAAAACCGACCTGGCGGTGGGTAGGCTTCTTGAGGAGGAACTTGCTGGTAGCTCATTCCGATGGCTTTGCGGAGTTGGGAGCAAGTCGGATGGGGTTGGTACAAGCAGCGGGGGAGGATGGCGACGGTGGGTTGATCTAAAAGTATCCAATGGGCCGCTCCGTCGCATTCGGTGCATCACATGATGTTGGTTGGCTGGCATGATGCGATTGGTAGCAGAATTGGATACTTTCTCATTTGTTTAGGGTCCATAATTGAATAAAAAACCGGCGATTTTTTTTTTCTTGCAGTGCTTTTTTTTTTTCCTACAAAGCATCCTTTCTTTCAATATAACAAAAAGAACCTTATTTTATTTTTAATATGTTTCTCTTTTGTCAATCTCATTCAATTGAACCATTTTAACCACCTAACACTAAATTCGGTCCAAAAGAAATAATAACTAATGCTATTTATATTAACTATATTAATGGTAAATTAGATATATAAAATTAATCTTGAAATTATAAAACAGTAAAATTATGATAAAATGATAAAATAAAATAAAATTGAAGCTATTAAATATAAAGTAAAAAATAATAATATAATAATATTATATGAGCATTTTAAATAAATAATATTTTTTTTCAAAAATAACCAATGAATGCTAAATATTAATTGGACCCAACGTCAAAATAGTTACACATCAAGTAATATAATATTTTAAACAATTAATTAAAAATAAAGGGTAATAAAAACTTAAAAAATAAAATATAAGTATTATTTATGAATATCTTATATACTATTTTTCATACTAGAATATCTATTAATTTCATACTCAAACCCTCATTTTTGTGATTTTGATATAATTTTAATTAAAGTAAGTTAAAAACATTGTGACCTAATTCATTCAGAGCCAAAAATATCTAAGTTCATCTAAGACTTAGAAATTGGCTCTACAATTTTGATGTCAAATTTTTTTTAAGTTTAAAATGATTTTTTTTTGTAGTATCCTATATAAGTTTAAAATAAGTTTAAAATATCTTATATAAGTTTTTCATACTTGTATATCACACTTAGTATGAAACCAATTGATAGTATTTATGATTTGATCTGTGTTTTGAGTGACGCAGGATACTTCGATCAGGGAAAGACAATTAAAGCAGGAAGAATCATATTGGGCCGGAGGAAAACATGTCAAAAGATTGGACGTCGCACAGAATGATCGATCGACATATCGGCAGCAGGCTTCGGTCTATGGATTCGGGCATCGGGCCAAGAAGAGCGGATATTACGCCATGAATATCATAGTTGCGGAGGTCAACTGACCGATTTGGTAATAGGCCACAAGAGAGGACGATGTATCGAAGAATCAGACGAAGTATTGATAGACCAATGACATATCGGACAACATGATTCATGCTTAGTAATAATTGTCTAGATCAAAGTGTGTTTTATGTATACAGGATTAACTACGATAGTAAGGCATAAAGCAAAATGAAGTCCCGGAGTCAAGAATGCGATTTCGTTGGGAGTTCGAAAGTTCATCGGAAGTCCGGACATTTGTTGGAAGTTCTGCCGAAACCAACCGAGAAGTCCAGGACCTTGCAAAAGAAGCTCATCAGAGCTCGCTAAGAAGACCGTCGTGAAGTCCAGGAGCTTGCCGGGAGTCCGCCGGAACATTACCGAGAGATTGTCGGAAGTTTGCTGGAAGATCGCCGAAAGCTCACCGGAAGAAACCAAACTTATTTAGCTTATTGTATGCCTTAAATTTCATAGTTAGCACATAATTATAGTATGATTTGGGAGGTAATTCCATCAACTCTATTAGGGGCCAACTAGGCCTAAAGTTAGGCTGGTTTGGGCCGGATTCAAGGCCCAACCAGGATGCTGAAAGCCCAACCGACAACGACACCATCTGGGAGACAGCATCCCAGGAATTTTGGGCAGTGGTACTGCCTAGATTGGGTGGTGGTATCACCAGCAGTGAATGCTGCCAGCGGTGGTACAGCCCCTATCAAGCGGTGGTACCGCCCAATGATAGGCCAACAACAATAGTACCGCCCAATAACTGCGGTGGTATCGCTAGTACCCAAAAAACCTAGGATGATACCTTTTTAGGCTCCAAGTTTAAATCAACTTGAAGCCTATAAATACTCCTCTCATCCCTGGTTAACATACACAAGCACAAAGAGTTTAAAAGTAAGAAAACGCTGTAGAAAACACTTAAGAAATCCCCTTCTCTAGCTTAAACTTAAAATTCTATTTAGAGAAGAGTATGTGTTTGTAAAGGTTGTCTCTGTTAGGATCGAAGCGGTACTAAGAGGGGGGGGGGATGAATTAGTGTAGTAGATTAAAACACATAAGTTTGAAATCGATTTCGTAAATGTGTAGAGATTTCGATTCGACGAAGGATGACTTAGCTAAAATAGCTCGAGTAAAGGTAGTCAAGAGTAGGGAGATAAAAACTGAATGATTTGTAGCTAAGTAGAGAAATGGTTCAGAACATTAAACACTCACAAATTCAAGGAACACCACGATATATAGTGGTTCGGTCAAGTGACCTACATCCACTTTCGAAGTCTTCTTCGATGAGGCTCCCAACTTCCACTTGCAAATCACTTTGAAGGGGAAGGACCAAATACCCCTCTTACAATCTTCTTACAAGTGGTTCACACTCTTAAAGATTTTTCAAAGAGAAAGAGGGAGGTGAACACTTAAGCTATTGAAAACAAGACTTTGCTAGAGCTTTTTCTCACTTTCTAACTTGTCAAAAAGGTGTTATCTGTACTGAGAATTGAGGGGTATTTATAGGCCCCAAGAAGATTCAAATTTGGGCTCTAAATTTGAATTGCTTTTGGGTTTCCCGGTGCTGGCGATGCCACCGCCTATCAGTGGTGGTGCCACCGCCTATTACTGTCTGACATTGACAGTGTACTGGCGGTGCCACCGTCAGACCTCTCGGGTTCTGGGCGGTGCCACCGCCCAGTCAGACCGGGTGCTGGCAGTGCCACCGCCGGACCTCTCAGGTTCTGGGCGGTGCCACCGCCCAGTCTAACGGTGCCACCACTTGGACTATTCCAACACACTGGTTGGGCTCCAAACTTGGCCCAAACCAATCCAAACTCGGGTCTAATTGGCCCCTAACCGGGTTATAGGATTAACCCTTAATCCTAACCCAAATTATATGTAAACGACGAAAGTAAGACATAGCCTTAAGCAAATTTTAACCGGCAACGTCGAGTTTCCTTCCGGCGAGCTTTCCGGCAAACTTCCAGCGGACTTTCGAAAACGTCGGCAAGTCCCCGATTCTTTTTCGGTTGGTTCCGGTAGCACTTCCGACGACTCTTCGGACTTTCGGCGAACTCTCAAACACCCATCGAACTTGACTCCAGTAAACTTGCTTTATGTCTTCATGCTATCGTAATTAATCTTGCACATGTAAAACATACTTCGATCTAGACAATTAATCCTAAGCATCTAATCAAGTTGTCCAGTATGTCATTGGTCCCTCGACGCTTCGTCCGATTCTTCGGCGTATCGTCCTCTCCTGCGGCCTATTGCTCAATCGGCCAGTTGACTCCGCAACTCCGATATCCTTGGCATAATGTCCGCTCTTCTTAGCCCGATGCCTGAATCTACGGCTCGAAGCCTTCTATCGATACGTCGACCGATCCACCGGCCCGACGTCCAATCTTCTAACATATTCCTCCGGCCCAACATGATTTTTCTACTTTAATTGTCTCATTGTGATCGAAGCATCTGTTAGGACCTTTTTTCTGAGCTTTTGAATAATATTTATTGAGTCTGTTTAGTCCAGTTGTTTATTGAATCGGTTTGACTCAGTTAGAATCAAGTAGAGATTTATTTAATATTTATTTATTATTAGAGTTCAAGTCCTGATGGACTTTGGGTGGAACTCTATAAATAGGGATGTAACTGCTTCTTTTCAATAATCTATAAAAAATACTATTATGTCTTTTGATAAACCCTAGGAGGTTGATCCCCTCGAAGCAATCAATGAGGGCCGATCGATCCCCTCGAAGCAATCAAGGAGAGCCGATCGATCCCCTCGAAGCAATCAAGGAGGCTGATCCCCTCGAAGTGATCATTATCATCCCCATTTCTCTCCTTTCTTCGACGATAACGCTTTAGGGTCTTATCATTTGGTATCAGAGCGACGATCTTATCATTTGGTATCAGAGCCTACGATAAGACTTTAGGGTCTTATCATTTGGTATCAGAGCAGCGATCCTTGGCGTTCTCGCTGCAACGAAGCTATCAAAAAAAAAAAAGAAAAACGAAAGAAAGAAAGAAAGAAAGAAAGAAAGAGAGAGAGAAGAAGAAGCAGCAACCGCAGCCACACGCCCCTGCTTCCCCTGCTTCCGGCCAACCCACCCGCCGCCCGTCGCTGCTCTCCGGCCAGCAACCGACTCTGCCCCACTTCCGGCCAGAGTCCACCACCGCTGCCAGGAGACGACGCTGCCAGCGTCCCACTCTGCCGCAGCCCTGCTCCTCTTCTCTACCGCCGCTGTAGGGCAACTCCTTCTCCACCGCCGCCGCTGCCTCCCGGCCAGCAACCTTCTCACCTCGCCACCTCGCTGCCCGCATCCCGCTCGAGCGAGAAGGGCCGCGGTCGCCGTTTCCCAGCCAGCGGACCACCCATCGCCGCTTCTACCGTCGGCGACGCTGCCCTAGCCGCACCGCCATCGCTGCCTTCCCTTGGTTGCAGCTTCGGCCGTGCGATCTGTCGACGTCGCTGTTTCTGTGGTGCGATCGAAACAGAGCAGCCGCCGATCCCTCTGCTGCCGCAGGCGCTGGTTGCCTCTACCGCCGGCGCTGTTTCTCTGCCACTTCAACGCCACCCCTCTCCTTCGTTGCCGAGCCACCACCGCTGCCAGGCACCGTGCGACGACCACCGCACGCCTCCCAGCAGCCGATCCCCCTTGCTCTGCATCTTTTGATACCGAAACAGGGCAATCACGGCAACTCACATCTGCTGCCCTTGTTTCCAGCCGCTGCTCCCCCGTGCGACGACCGCC